ACTCAGCACAGTGCCTGACATACAGGGAGAGAGAGGTCAGAGCCTGGGAAACAGGGCAAAAGGAGCAGGGTCGACTTTCTGGAAGAGAAAGGGCTTAGTATGGTGGCCAAAACCCTGGGCAGGAAGTTAGGAGACCACGGTTCTTCTTTTTGCTCCAACTCTACCTCAGACAAACCATTTTTCCTCTCTGGGCTCCAGCTTCCTTCTCTGTAAAATGGGGGGGGGCACTCAATGATCTCTCATAGTTCACAGTTCTATGTGTTTAATCCGCCCCCTCCTAGAGCCACCCAAACTGTGAAAGTGAGGTGGGGGGCAGTGGATATGTTGAGAAAGCTCTTTCCCTTTTTGAAGGGGGAGCCAAGAGTCCCCTCCTCCTTCAGCCCATCAGCAGATCCTAGGGGCTGGGCTTCTACTCGGACCATCACACAGTACAAGGGGATGGCTTAGACCCAATTTGACCTGATTTGAGTCCAAAGTTCTGACCCATACCCAGAGACTGCTGCTGGGATAAAAATGTCAGTCCTGAAACAACTAAAAATGTGTGGTTACTGCAAGTCCAGGGCTAGAACCTAAAAGTTGTGCCAGAGCTGATGGGGGCCTTAGAAATGAAGTTCAAATACAACACTTTACAGATGAGGGGAAACTGAGGCCTAGAGATGGGAAGGCAATTTGCTCCAGAGCCTTGCTTGAGTCTAGACTCGATACCAGGGATCCTGCCTCCCAATTCAGAGGTCTTTCCCCCATGCTACGCTGCTTCAAGATAAGTGGAGCTCAATCATATGATACGGCTCATGGACTTTGAATTTAGGGAGCTCCAATCCAAGAGAAAATTCCCAAACCAACCCTCCAAAGAGTGAATTTTCTCCTCCTCCTTCTTCCTCTTCTTTCTTTTTTTCAAGTTTTTTCACTCAATTTTTTAAAATGATGATTGCTCCACAGCAGGTCCCCTAGCCTCCTCTCCCAGGCCCCACAAAGGGGCAATCCTCCCTCAGCCATCATGTAAGAGCTCATGTAAATAAACCCTTCTAAGGTTTATCAAAGCAAATTCAACACCACCACCCTCTGAGTGGAAAAGCATTTTTATCTCCATTTTACAGACAAGGAAGTAGAAGACTGCAGAAGAAATACTACCCAACGTCTACATTCTATCCCCACCTCCATGCTTGGGCTGCTACACCTTTCCTGTTTCATTCTTTTGTCTTTATACTCCCAGCAACCTATCACTGGGGCTGGCACACAGGCGCTGCTTAAGAAATGTTCTTGGATTATTTTCCTTCAAGGCTCAGCTGGGGTGCCACCTCCTCTATGAAGCTTTCTACCTTTGTGAGTGTTGGGATGGAACATTTCATCCTTGTTTTTGCATTCCCAGAACTTCACACAAAGAGGATGAACCTAGGTGGCTCGGTAGGCATGGGACTCTAGAAAATTTGAGTTCAAATTCTGCCTCAGACAGAACTTGTGACTCTGGGTAAGTCAATTAGGCATTAATCACCTTAGTTTCCTCATGTGTAAAATGGGGGTAATAATAGCACCTGCCTCCCATAGTTGTTATAAAGATAAAATGAGATGTTTGTAAGACATTTTACAGACCTTAAAATGAAATGTCAGCTGACATTATTACAGAAATGCTAGCTGATAGGCATATAATAAGTGTTTAACTGAAATAACTTGGCCAATGTCCCAAGGCCAATTGGTGACTAAGTCATGTCTCAAACTCCATCTCCTACGCGCCTTCACTCTGGGTCACCTCTCCTACCGGAAACTGCAGTTGATCGTTATGGCAGGGAGAGATAGGGGGGCACACCAGCCATGGCTTTTCCTGGAACTATTCCAACTCACTCAGGCACAGACAAGTGATAAAGTCAGCCAAGTCAGCCTTGTGGGGTCCCTTAATCCTCCCAGGCCTCTGTACTGGTCACACCATACCTGGAGTACTGGGTGCAGGACTGGATCCCACACTTTGGGACAGACATCACACTGGAGAGGGTTCTGTTGAGGGCAACCAGGATTGGTGAAGGGGCTTGCAACCTTGCCAATGGAGAATATGTTGAAGGAATTGGAGAGTTGAGCCTGAAAGATGCCTAGGAGAGGCGTGACGTTAACCTGATTTTCAGTTTTATCTAGTGTCATCGTGTAAATGAAAGCTCAGACTTCTGCAGGTTAGCCATAGAGGACATAATTAGGAGTTAGGAGGAGGGAGACATCACCTTAACATAAGGAACAAGTTCAGAACCGTCAGAACTGTTCTCCATGGAATGGGCTGGCTCCTTGTCCCCAGGGGCACCAAAGCCAATCATCTTTGCATCCTGGACTCCTCCAGCGTTCTGGAGAAGCCTTTAGCCCCCCTTCTCAGAAGAATGGTTTCAAGTCAGTGAAGGAAAGCTGCCCTTGAGTCTTCCTTGATGACCCAGCCCAGAATTTAAGGCTTCTTCCCTGAACCAGTCAGCTTTCCCAAGAGGCCAATGGTTCCCGTTTGTATAGAACTTTATGGCTTATACATCTCTCTTCTTCTTAACAAAGCTACGCAGCAGCTAACGTTATCAGACTTCACAGCACACAGTGAGAGCTCAACTGATGTTTCTCTTTTACTGATGAAGAGGAGGCTTTACATTTGACACTTACTAGCTGTGTGACCCTAGGCAAGTCACTTAACCACAGATTGCCTCGCCAAAAAAGAAAAAAAAAAGAGCAGGCTTGAAGCAGGAAAGGACTTCTAACTCTGAGATCTGGGATCTGTCAACTTTAACAAGGGATCCTACTTTGTGTCATGGATGCCTCTGGCACACAGACCTCTTCTCAGAACCACATTTTTGAATGCATCAAACAAAATACAAAAGAAACCAGTTACGCACCAGGTTAAGAATTCAGATACTAAAATGATACTTCCAAGAAAGTAAACACACACACACACACACACACACACACACACACACACACACACACACACACACGCATGCACGCGCGCTCCTGAAAGGAAGGAAGAAGGGTCATTTATCTTGTGTTCCTTGCTCAGTTCCATCCCTCTAAGACTCGGGCTTACATCACCCACCAGAAGGGCTGAGCCGTGAGGGTGGGACACTAGGGAGTGCAGACTCACAGGTTTCGAGGAACCACTGAGATCATCTTGTCTCGACTGCTCCAAGCCTCTGCTTCTCTGCAAACTTCCAATGACTCCCTGTCTGGATCAAGTGAGCTTTCTGCTGCTCCCCCCAGCAGCTTCCCCGACCCAGAGCGATCTGGGCCGACAGCTCCTCCTTCTGAGCGTCCCCTCGAGCTAATATCAGTGCAGCTTGGCTATATTCAGCACCATCAGTCATGCACCTCCACAATCCATGCCTCTCCAGCCCATTACCTTCCTCTTTAATCCCACGGTCATTGGCCCAGCCCAGGCTCTCATTACCACCCACGCAGACTACTATCATCAACCCTTAATAGGTCCTCCCGCCTCCACTCTTTCCTCTGCAATCCATTTCTTCCTTCCGCTGCCAGACTCATGTTCCCATCTGGTCACGTCCCTCCAAGAGTCTACTGAATATAAAAGTCCAAACTCTCTCGCCTGGCATTCAAGGTCCTTAACAGTATGGCCTTAGCCAGATTTAGAAAGTCAACCAGCATTGATTAAGCACCCGCTGAGCCAGGTAGCGTGCCAAGAGCTGAGGGTACCAAAAAAGGCGATAAACAGTCCCTGCCCTCGGGGAGCTCCTAACCTTGCACGGTGCCTCCCTCCCAGGTTCCACCTTCCAGCCAAACTGGACTGACTCCTCACCATTTCCGATATATACTATCTTTAATCAACCAAGCAACAGACATGTATTAATTGTCCATTAGGTGCTAGAAGCTGGGGATTTGACACAAAAGTGAGACGGACCCTGCCCTCAAGGGTAGCTAACATTCTGCCTTGCCTTGGTGTGTGTTTCCCGTGCCCAGAGTTTCACCTTCCTGCTCACCTCTGCTAAAAATTTTACCTAGATTTTAAGGCCCAGCTGCTCCCACTTCCGTGTAGCCCTACTGGATGGTCCCAGGTGGCAGGGAGCCTCCTCTCCAATCGATCAACATTTATTAAGCACCTACTATGTGTCAGGCACTGGGCTAAACCCTGGGGATACAAAAAGAGGCAAGCTACACACAGGGTAACTGGGAAATAATCACAGAGGGAAGACAAGACACTCTTTCCCTGCCCCCAATCCTTCTACTCTCCTCCCCACAACTTTAATAGGACCTGCTTCCCTGGTGTCACCAACAATTACAGTTCTTGAACTCAGTCACTGCTCATTTTCTCCCCTCAGCTACTCCAGGCCAGTGACCTGACAAGCCAAAACATCCCTCCTCGGCCTTCACTCCCCCCTTTTAGATGTAAGCTCCTCTATGCAGGGGACTGTCTGTGGTTTCGATCTGCATCTTCCGTACTGGGCGCAGTGCTAGGTACACATCACGTGTGTATGGGAAATAATTTCCCATTCATTCACTCACTCTAGTGGGGACTGCTTTTGCGGGATGGGTTGGACAATACAGGTTCCTTCTTTCTAAAATCCTGTCCTCCTGTTTACTTACACTGCTCTCCCCAACCCCAGGGATGAAGGGACGACACACAGAAGGACCCCAGAGCCCCAGAGATGTGATGCTCATTCCTAAACAGAGAGCGCTGCCCTTGGGCCTCAGGAGACGGGCCGCAATGCTCACCTAGCTGGTTCTACCAGGTACTTTCTGAGCCTCGGTTTCCTCAACTGTAACATAAGAAGAGTATGATACCACCTACTTCATGGGTTGTGGTTAGCCAGGTGATTCACAAGCCTCCAAGTGTGGGAGCTAGTTTGCTCATTCTGGTCCTCCGGGCCCACCCGGTCCAGTCTGTGGGCCAGCAGCCCGAGGGCCTCTCAGGCAGAGCCTCTACAAATGGTGCCAAAGATGGTACCCACAATTCCTCCCGCCCACAAGCCCAGCCTTCCAAGGGGCTACCCTGTCCTTCGAAAGGTCCTGGGACAAAATGACGACTACGGAGCTGTGGCCAGAACACAAATTTATTTGGCATTTAGATGACACAGTTCTCACAGCATCTTGAGGAGGACATAAAGATTAGTGCCAACTGGACAACAAAAAACAAACAATCCAAACAATTAACCACCTCACCTCCATGAAAGCAGGAGAGAAAGTCTTCAGGATGTCCACACTGCCCAGTTCGGGTATTACAGGCCTTTCGGAGAAGACCAGAAACACTCCTCCAGGGCTGCAGAGTTCACCAGCTGCACAGGGTCAGGGCGCAAGGGGAGGGTGGCAGCGGCAACAGCAGCATGGCCCCCTCACTCTCTACCCCCCACCAACAAGGGCAGAGTCTGGCCCTGGGAGCAAGTGAAGCATGACGGCAGGTGGGGAGTGGAAGGGGGTCCTACTTCAAACAACTGAATCCACCTTGTGTAGGAGCTCTGGAGGCAGGGCGTGTGGGGAAGAGGGAAAGACCCTCACCCCTTATTGGACCACACAAACCTCCCCTCCCCTGGTGAGGTACTCAGTCAAGTCTGGAGCCCAAATCCTTGGAGAAAGTGGCAATTTTCAGGGGGATGAGAAGAGGACCGTTGGGCATCCTGCCCAAGCCTCCGCATTAAGAGTCATGCTTCTTGGTGACCCCTAGGGATGCTAACCTAGTGCATAATGTGGAAGCATCTTTTCCTATGGACAGAAAGCACATTGGACTCCCAGGCTTGACCCATAAGGAAGCCCCTGTACAGACTTCACTGAGCAGAATCCAGTCCTCATTCTGAGGAAGGAGGCAGGAGGGGGAAGAGCACCCCAGCAGCTCTTTCCAAGGAGGTGGGGTCACATGTTCACAGACAGAAGCCACACGAACCCTCAATCAGTTCTGAGGTGATGGGTGGCCACCTGTCACAGAAGTGTGGAGTTCCCCTGGCAGAGCCACGCCACTACAGGCAGTTCTAAGGAGATACACCCACCCATACACTCTCCTGCCTTCATACCCTGGATGGCTCAGGGTAGCAGAGAGGAACACGACAATCGGGCAGGGCAGGGTTGGGCTGGGTGCCCAGGCCCTCAGGCCTCAGCTTGGAATGAAAGGCACTCATTTGCATGGCCTCAGGAGGCCTCAGGGCTCAGGCTGTGGCTAGAGTGTTTGTGTTTAGGGGTATGGGGGTCCACTAATGCTGCCTCTACTATCCCAGATCTCACTGCCCACCCAGGGGCAGAAGCCACCAGAATACAGAACTAAGGTAGTGACTGACAAGAAGCCATTTCATCAAGTGAAAAAATAAGGACACCCATGACTGAGTATTTCTGAAAGCATAGATCCCAGTGTTTTCAAATGGCACTGCTTTGTGTTAGGAGAAGTGAGGAATAAGTCTCTAACTACAAAAGACCCAGGCAGGGCTGGGCTGGGGTTGGGGGAGCTACATACAAGGAGATTCACTACCTACAATACTCCAACGTGTAGAAATGCATCTCAGCTCCAGCCCTGGGTCCACCGCAGCTCCCTGCCTGGCTCTCGGGCACTGCGCTGGCCTAGGCTCTACCCGCAGGCCTTCAGTTACACGGGGGATGGCTCTGGAGCCAGCCAGGGGCAGGCCTCTCTCACGGGAGGCACAGCCTCAGGCCACCTTGGATGGACCACCGTGGCTTCCCTGCTCGGGGTTCCCCAGTGGTCTGGAGTTGAAAGCAAACAAGCTGACTAGCGACTTTCCTTCCGCTCTGGTCGCGGTGGATGACAGCCTTGGAGATCAGTTAGCGTGGTGTGAGCCTAGCGTCTTCCTGGTTTAAAAACGAGGAAGAACCCATCCATCTGAGGGCCCGGGTGACACAGGACAAACACAAGGGAGAGGCACATAAGCAAACGATGAGCACTCCCCCATTCTGAAACACGGCCTTTCTCTCTTCCCCAGCAGACCTCAAATAATATTCCGGAAACACCAACCTAAAGCCTTTTTTGTCTTTAATTAACAATCAGAATGAGGGATCCAACGTGCAAACAGATGATGCCACCATTCTTTAAAAAAAAAAACCCTGACGCTTCTCCCAGCAACCGTCTGGTAAGAGGAGGGGAGAAGGATTCTAAGAGCCCGAGTCCCCGGGAGCAGCTAGCCAAGGCTCCCCACACCAGGCCCGGGCAGCTGTCAGCAAGCTCTGCTTGGGGCAGGAGCCCCCGGGGGGCAACCATCCCTCCGAAATTAAAAACACGCCCACACACGCCCGCGAGAGAAAAGCAAGTGGGCCCCATCCACAGAACAGGAGGAATGAACAGCCACAGGTGACTGAGGAACCCAAGAGGAAGGAAGGGCTGCAGGGACGAGGCGACAAGCCAGTATCCGAATCACTGAGCTGAGACTGAACGACGCCCTCACAAGGCAGCCAGTTCTGGCCCAAGGAAATGCGGCTCGATGAATAAAGGAATGAATGAATGAATGAATGAATGAATGACCCCAGCAACACTTGCTCCAAGCCTCCTCAGAAGGCTCCTACCTCAGCCACCCCAGGCCTTTCTTCCTCAGGTGGGCAGCCCACCGTACCATGATCACGCCCGCCCACACACACAGACACACACACCTACATCCACACACACATTCGACCATTCATATAAAACTAAAGGAAACACGATCAGTACATACAATGTATAGAAAATGTATAGATGTGCTCAAAAGTGCACAACACCCGCTTTATTATTCCTACTTGGGCAACATTTGCTGTCCACAGGCTGTGTCTGTCTCCGGCCGGCCAAGGCCCTGAAACAAGGCCATAAGCGACAGCACACCGGGCAAAGAAACCCCGCTCCGTTCACCGGCTGCTCACGACCGACACCGTGCCGCGCACATGGTGGCTGAGGGAGAAGGAACCACCCTTCAGCAGGGCGAGGCGCCCACAGTGGGCCTGGCGGGCGGCTCTGGCCTCGAGGGCGGGACAGAAGCCCGAGCGTCTGCCCACACTGAACAACCACAAGCTGCAGACGCGCAGAGCCCTGGGTAACCTTTCCCCACCGGGAAGCATCAGCCCCGCCCTGACGGGAGCAGCTGCCCACAGATCCCCCCCCAGAGTTCCTAATGAGGTAAACCACTGACCAAACTGAAGGGGAAGGCAGAGGCAGGTGGGGACAGATACCAGTGATCACACGGCCCAGGCTGAGAGGTCTGGGCCCAGGGCAAATACCTCTGGGGCTCATCCCCATGACGCTCTCAGTTTTAAGTGGAGAGTGGAGAGGGAGCGCCCCAAGCTCCCCAGTGGACCAAAGCCTACACCAGCAGAAATCAAGCATCTTCTCGGCTGCTCTCCCGTCCCCTGAAAATCCCCCCTCAGGGGCAACTCCAGCTGTTTCCAAGAAAGACCCTGTCCTCCCCTTGCCTGCTGCCCACTGCCACCAAGGCCTCTTCTTCCAGAGGCATCAGAAAGGGCGGCAACTGCCCCAAGCAGGGTCCTCAGAGGCTCAAGGGCAGAGAGGGCAGAGCATGGGAGGAGGGACCCCAGTTTCCAGAGGCGGTGGCCGAGGCTGGGGGGGGGGCCCACAGGGGCATGACGTCACACGTGGAGGTTCTGCACAGATCAGTCTGGATTCACACCCCCTTCCAGAGCGAGGCCGCCCACCAGAGTCGGTAGTCACTCCGCAGTCTGAGAAGCAATTCTATCACCAGGCCAATTCGCAATGGGCCATTTCCTTTCTTCTGATCTCACACCCAAGCAGGTCTGAGTGCGGCTACCAGGCCGGCCGGCCCCTCCTTATTCTGCACCGAGGTCCCTGGCCAGCAGAGCTGCACTCTCCTTTGCCCCACTTGCTCAGCCCACCTCGGGGATGCCGGACAGCATCCTGAGGAGGCCAAAGCATCGACATCCCAGCGTGCCTGCTCTCCCCACCCTGGAAGCCTGGTGATTTAAGCACTCCCCGCGCTTACGGCTCGCATTTAAGGCCTCTAAAGGCAAACCCTCTGCAGATCCCCTTCTTCTACTCCTCTGCCATCTCAAGATGGAGACAGAGACCTGGCAAATGACACATTCACCCCCAGGGCCTTCCTGGTCCTAAGCTCACACGTGAACATCACTCCACCCCAGCCAGCCCTACCTGTGGCTGTCCTGTGGACATTTCCAAGCGCTACATAGGAGCAAGCGATGCAGGCAGACCCCGCCCCTTCCAGCCCCCAGCCTCAACCCTCTCGCTACCACCGAGAGCCCGTCACCCTATCCCTCCTCCATAACCGAAGAAGACAAGCCAAACCCAAGAGCAGTGACCACAGCCGTCTGACTTTCTGTCCTTTCTTCATCCCCTGATGAGGACCCTCCGGCCTTCCTCTCACACAGCCCCCGTCCCTATTTACACAATAAACCAGGTGGTAAATGCACAGTGAGGGCAGAGCCATGCCTGGCACAATGGGGGGCCGATGCCAGCCTTGAAGAGAGAGGGCAGAGCTCAGCGCCTAGAGCCGTGTTTCCTCGTCCAGTTTTGTGCAAACAGTTGCTCCAATGATTTCTGACCGGCAGGCTATCAGCTCGCCGCCCCTTTAGACAACGGTATTGAGGGAGCAGAGGCTGGGGCGGCTGCCCCCTAGAGTTTCTGCCGGCCTGTTCTCGCTCGGGGGTGTGTCCGGAGGTACAAGGAGGGTGCTGCTATCAGCCGAGTCATCCAGCTCTGCTGGGGAGGGCCCCACCGAAGGTGGGAGAGGCCCCTCCAGGAGTCGGGGAGATGCATCACTGTCTCCGAGGGTGGGCGGACTGCTCTGAGCGGTCTGGGGGCAAACACCATCTAGGAAAGAAGACAAAAAGTGATGAGGAAGCAGGGCAGCCAAGCATGGCAGCATCCCGGGACACTAAAGGGCCCTTCCCCTCGACCCCTGCCTCCCTCACCGTCAAGGCCAGCCTGGCCCAGCCCTGGCAGACAGCCATGAAACATCATGACGGCCACGGCAGCCACCCCCAAAGCTACCCCAGGAGACCCCCGAGGAGCGCAGGGGGAGCTGCAGGCTAAGGTCTCCTTTCCCCAGCTTATTCCTCCATTTCCCTTCTTTCAGGGTCCATGCCTTCTCCAGCAGGAGCGCTCCCTGCACCACCCCAGATCCCCCCAACCCCTGAGCCTTAGGAAGCTGGTGCCCAGTGAGAGCCACAGAGTCCGTCACTGTGCAGGCCTCCCCAGCTGGGCCGGCCCTCCCACAGGCAAAGCCTTTGAGATCCCAGGCTCATCTCGACCTCCATACCACGATGAGGTCCTCCCACAGGGGAGGAGCAGGGCCAACTGAAAACACTGTCAAGTCAGCACAAATTTTCAACCATCAGAAAACAGTGTTTGCCCCACCCCCTGCCCTGACTTGTGCAAACAAGGATGCAGTCAATGAGGAACAAGGAACAAGGGCTCACCCCAACGTGGCCGTCCCTCCCAGCTCACCAAAAGGAGATTCCAACCCCTACTGCATCCTGGCAGACAGAAGCCCAGGCCTCCTCTCAACGACCCTGCCAGGCAGGCAGCGCCACCCACCTCATCATCCCTGTCTACTGCCACCACGACTCCTAGTAAGGAGAGGAGCCGGAACCCAGAGCCATGTCACGCCTCCACCGAGGCAAGGGCCACGGTTCGGGCGTTTCAGTTGTGTCTGACTCTCTGTGACCCCATCTGGGGTTTTCTTGGCAAAGATACTAGAGTGGTTCACATCTCCTTCTCCAGCTCATTTTACAGATGAGGAAACTGAGGCAAACAGAGTAAAGTGACTTGCCCAGAGTCACACAGCTGGTAAGTAGCTGAGGCTGGATTTGAACTCAGGAAGATGAGGCTTCCTGACTCCAAGCCCAGCGCTCTGTGCACTGTGGCACCACCTAGTACCCCAAGAGGCCAGTAGATACCCCCAAAGTTTCACCCCCTTGGCAAGCCCAGCTAGGACAACTAGACTTTTTTTAGAAGTCAGAATCAATGACTCCTGCTATCCTGTAGCTGTCCGCCCATTCAGGACCAACAATTATCACGGGGCTTCCTGAGCAAAGCCAGGTTTGATCACCCTCTGGCCTGGCAGCGAGCCATGGCTCTGCCCTCGCTCTCAGGGTGACCTGGATAAGTGACTTCCCTTCCCTCTGTCTCAGGGCCAGAGGATTCCTAAGCTTCCTCTAACTCTCAAATTCTGCCCCCGAGTTGTGTCGGCAGGGATGACGTCCAATGGTGTGTCCCACTACCCAGGGGTGCCTCATCAGAACAGCCCCAGCAGACAGGCAGGAGCACGGCCAGAGGCCAACGCGTGTGTGCACCCAAGGAACAACCCTCAAAACAGGCTCCTCCGGGGATGGTGTTCAAAGGGGGGGCACGGTTCACATCTGGGTGAGGGACGGGGACCTTCTAGAAGACAAACCGAGGCCTCCGTCACTCTGAGGACCTGGGAATGAACACCTCCCGACACGCCCAGGGCGCCACTTCTGCACCAGAGAACGAGCTTCAGGGAGAGCGTTCAGTGAAAACAGCCTTCTGCCAGAGGAGAAGAAGAAGGGGGAAGGGGAGGGAGGCAGACGAGGGGCATGAGGAGCACGAGGGGGAAAGGAAGAGGAGGACGGCTGCTGTGGAGGTAACAGAACGCTGAAAACCACGCGCTCATCCTCTTCAATCCTAGATTCACTCCAACCCCACGGCTGAGCGGTAAGAAGAGGGGGCAGCACCTGGAGTGGTGCAGAGCACGCTGTCGGGGTCGATGGAGGCCTCGTAGGGTGGCGGGGGGTCGTCAGGGTGCTGGATGTCTGGGTACTTGTAGGCTGTGTATGGCGGAGGAGGGTCGTGGAAATGAAAGGCTCCGCCTTCTCCATCATCAGAGAGGTGCAGCGGAGTGAGGCCCGTCCCGAAGCCATCAGGGCCATAATCGAAGCCCGGGATCCTCCGGCCCAGATTAAAATGATGCACTGTGGGAGACCGGGAAAAAAAGTCAAGCAGAGCCCCATCTCTGTCCTCCACTCCCCGCCCACCCCAAAGACCCTGCTGCCATCATCGCTGAAGGAGACGGGCCACACCTGACCTGCGGAGGAGCAGAGGAGGGGGACTTCTCCCCTCTGACCCACCTGCACGCCACAAGGTGACCTGTGATATCCCTCCCCCATTAGACTGTAAACTCCCTAAGGACGGGGCTTGGCTCTTCTTCAGCTGCGTATTCCCAGCACAGGCACAGGCTCCTTCCAAGCTTCATCTAAGCTTGTGGAACTGGAATTAATGGAGCCAAATTCTCTATAAGTAGTTTTGATTGATATTTCACAAGAACAGTCTTAATCCCTCCACCCACTCTTACATACACACGCACGCACGCACGCACACACGCACGCACATGCACACAAACGCATATCCACACACGCACGCATGCACATGCACACAAACGCATATCCACACACGCACGCACGCACACACGCACATGCACACAAACGCATATCCACACACGCACGCACACACACACACACGCATGCGCACACACACAAGCACGTTTTCGGCTGGTCTGAATATTTCCTCATCTTGGACTTCTCTTACAGGATCCTAGGTCTAGAGCCGGAAAGGACCTTACAAAATAGAGGAATAAAAGTCTTTGCAGCGAGAGTCTCTGATACGGCTCTGATTTCTAAGACACTCAGGGAGTGGATTCAAATTCCTAAGAATAAGAGTCATCCCACAACTGATAAGTGGTCACAGGACGTGATGAAGCTGTATTCAGAAGAAGGAATCCTAGCCACCAACAGCCATATTAAGAATGTCCTGAATCAATAATCAGAGAAATGCAAACTAAACAATTCTGAGCTTCTGCCTCACTCCCACCAGATGGACACGACTGATAAAAATGGACAAAGACAAATGCTGAAGTTGCTGCATTAATGTACTGTTGGGCATCGGTGCAGCACTCGGCAAAGCAGCTTGGAGCTATGCCTGGAAGGCCATTAAACTGTGTGTGTCCTTGGCCCGCCGTCCTGCTACTAACTCTCTGGTCCAAAGTGATCAAAGAGGAAAAGGAGCCATGCGGTCAAATATACAGCAGCTCTGTTTGTGATGGCAAAGCATTGGAAACTGAGGGCAAGATGCCCCATGGGGAATGGCCAAACACGTCACGGTCTGTGAACGTGATGGAACACTGCTGCTCTGAGAAATGATGAAGGGTGTGGTTTCCAAGAAACCTGAGAAGACTTATACAAACTGACGCAAAGGAAAGGGAGTAAAGCCGAGAGAACAATTCATGCAACAACAACACGGTACAGACAAAGAACTCTGAACAACTTCGGAGAGCTGATCACCACCAGGACCCGCCAGCATTCCAGCAGTCTCATGGTAAGACATGCCACACCACCCTGCTCCAGAGGGACACGCAATGGGCTCAGAGAGCAGAGGAAGGCTTACGGTTTGGGTTTTCGATATGCCTAATGCAGGAATTTGTTTTTAATATCTGTATTTACAGATGTTCCCATAGAGTTTATAACAGGATCTGCTTTTGCCATGGGCGGAAGGGGAAAGGGGAAGGAAAGAATTTGGAGCCAAAAACGAAACTGAATTGTAAAAAATAAAATGAAATGAAACTGAGGATTTGAATCCAGACCTTCAGGCTCCAGGGACAATAGCCTTTCCATTGTGCCCCGATGTGCACCTCCTCTTTCACTAACACCAGGAGCCCAGAAGGAATGGGCTTTACCAAGTTCAGGCAGTAGCCCCAGCCTGGGGGCTGAGCTAACATCCTCCTCCAATACCCCCAACTTCAAGCTCCTCTGAGCCCGAGAAGGCTGGGCCCCCCAAGTGAAGTCTCTGGCCCAGGGTCCACCCTGTGCTTCCCTTTTAACCAGAGCCTGTCATGTGGCTGCCTCCTCAAGGGCAGTCTCTTTGTATCGTCCTGGTGTATGCATCCCAGGTCTAAAGGAGAGGCCTGCTCCCCTTGGGAACTCCCTGCACCCCTCAAACATACTCATCCCCAAAGCCAGGTCTACTGTTTCCTGGCCTTCTGGACAAGCTCCTCCGGGCCTAGCCTCTGCCATCTGCTGCTTATCAAATCAATATCCAAGCTGGGCCCTGGGACACAGCTGTACTAGCTGAGGGAGGGGAAGTAACTCAAGAAGGCCATATTCACCAAGGGCCCAATGCCAGGCCTCTCCCATGATGCCTCACAGATAGGCCCTTCAATACCAGTTCTCCTGGCCACCTGGACCACCCCACCCTGCTCAGGAAATGATAACCAAATCAGCAGCCCATCTGGGGACTGGGGCATGGTCCCTCTATTAGAAAGCACGTGGTCATCCACTGTTCTATGGTTAACAAATTTTCCCTGTGGTTTGAAATTAGAATCGGACTCAGATGGCACCTAAATGACAATCTGCTGTCCTCATGCAGCCCAGCCCTGCCCTTCCCTGGGCCCAAGCCCGAGCTCCTCTCCACCTCTGCCTGGTGCATTCCAGAATCTCAGCTCTATTATTTTGTAAACAAAATTGTGCTGCTATCTTTTGTTTATGTATCACCTACATTTTCCACTGTATTCCTCCCCCCACATCTGCCCAGAAAGTCCTTCTTTATAATAAAAAACAAAAGAAAAAAAAATTTCAGGAAAACCAACCAACAACCTAAAAGGCGTTTACCATGCTCCCCCACCTCACCAAGGAGTGAGGGATATTTGCCCTTCTCTCTTCTCTGGGGCCAAATCCAACCCCTTGTCAATCTGCCACTTGTCCGGACGGCCTTGTGGCTGTTCTCCCTGGCCTCTCTATGGGCACCATGGCTTCCCTTTCCATCAGTTCACTGAGCTCTCTGGGGCTTCTGGGTCTCAGTGGAAGCTCCCTGCCCCTTCCAGACCCCCCGCCGCCAAGTACAGTCCACTGTTGTGTGTCATCCAGACGGGATTCCCTACTGGCTTCCAGGCAGGGCCCCTCCACCTTCCTTCTCTAGGAGGGCAGTCCCTCCTCACAACCAGCTGGCCTCCACAACACTTATCCTTAGAAACTTCAGTGGAGGCCCCAATGTCTCTGCTAATGGTCCCACCGCCGTCTGAGCCTTCACTCCACGTTAATGACACACACGAGTCTCACCTCCCCGACCCGGACAGCTGGCCTGCCTCCACGTGGCTGCAGCTTGCTACCCATCTCTCTCTCACCATGCCTACAACTCCCCTGCTTCTGTTAGGGAGCCAACCATTTTTTGGGGGACCCAGAGTCATCCCTGTTCTTTGCTGACCCACCTCCTCCAGCCAGCCAGGCTCCCTGCCCTGTCGATGCTGCTCCATCTCTCTCCCCACACCCACGGGGGCTTCCCTCGTTCAGGCTCCCAACCCTCCTGCCCAGGCCTCTGCCCTGTGCAGGCCGCTGCCTCTGGATAAGATGCCCATGCCTACATGTGGCACTTCCCTTCACTTCTCCCCACTCCCCTCGTGGCTCTGCAGCCAGGCTACCAGGTCCCACCAGGGTGGGGATCTTCTCCCTGCTGTCTTCTGGCTTTCTTAGACTGGAAGCCCGAAGACGGCAGGGCTGTCTCTCTTTTGGTTTGCACTTGAATCCCCAGCACTTGGCACAGTGCCTGGCACACAGTAAGCCCTTACTGAATACTTGCTGCCTGACCCACTGATTTAAAACCATCCCGATCTGGTTCCAACCTCTCCTCAGCACCCTGAGCTTCACCTCGCTCTCCTGCCAGTGCACATCCCGGCCCCCCACCTGCTGCTGCACAGGCTGCCCCCAATGCCCATCCCTCTTTCCCGCATCCCTTCAAGGTACGTCTTCACACTGGAGGCCTTCCCTCCCACCCCAGAATACTGCATACTGACTCTGCGTGACTTTGTAGTATCTGTTGTTCTTCCCGATAGAAAGGAAGACCCCTGAGGGGAGAGACTACATCTCTTCCCTTTGTATCCCCAAGGCTAGCAGCACAGCCTTTTCATCCATGTCTGTTGAGCTGAGAATAGATGAAATGCCGTTCAAACGCAGGAAAGGTCCTGGAACCTTTCTGAGGCGGCCAGCACAGCGCCACCCGCTACTTACGGTTCGCACCAATCAACGACTCGATGCGCTCTCGGCGTCTCTGACGTAGCCGATGGACCATGAAGAGCAGCAAGGACAGGATGAGGAAGGAGGAGATGCAGCTGACGATGAGGCGCATCCCACTGGCCATGGAGTCGAACAGGCTGCTGCCATCTGTCAGACAAACCAAAGTCAGGGACCGCTGCCCCAGGCCGGGGGTTGTTCTCTCTCCCTCTGTCCCTCTGTCACACAGACACACACACATGCGCGCGCACACACACACACACACACACACACAGGTCAGAGACGTGTCCCAGGTGGCTGCCAATTGTTTAAATAGTAAGGACACACCATGTGCTTCGATCACCCAAACCCGAGCCCGAGTTCCAATCTAAAGAAATATCTTTCAACCTAAGGACCTAAATTCAAAGGAGAATGAAGCCCTGGAGAAGGCTCTGGGTTTCTGCTAACTTCTCGCCCTTACAGATCTACTGAGACCAGCAGACAGCACCCCTAATGACCACTCGCTCCTTAAGGGCAGCAGAACGGCGCTAGGCCTTGACCCAATCCACGCTGCTGAGGAACCCAGTCTGAAGGGCGGAGAGCACAGGAGCAGCCTCAGTCCTCGCGGCCCTGGTCATCATGCTGCCCCGTTCATCAATGACCCCTAGGGCGCCAAAGAGCACGGGGCTCTTCACCACGGCTTTGCCCAAACACTTTGTCTTCCCAGGACAATCCGTGGCTTCTCTAGGGAGTCTTCTCTATATGACAGTACTGGCAGCTCCCGCTCCCATGGGACTTCAAGGCTCATAAACTGCTTTATTGAGCTATCATTTTTAAGAAGAGGACGTTAGACTAAAGAAACAGCTTTTCACCAAAGGGAGACACGGACAACAGAACCACAGTCCGGGGTAGGGGGAGATTGGTATCACCTCTGGAGATGCTGCAGACTTAAAGGAGGGCACCAAAGAAGTGGCCCAACACTTTTCTGAAAACACAGCCCCTGAGCCTGTTTCTGGCTGACCAAAGCCTCCAACTGCAGCCTGTTTTCAGAAAGTACATTATTAATGTGCCTTAAAAGCAAAGCCATGCTCCTTTGGAGGGCTCTCCACAAAGATCCTATTTATAGCCATTCTAAAGAAGGACGGCACATTTGTGAACACTCTGGGGGCCTACACCCCTCGGACGCTTCGATCAGGCCCCCGCCCGCCATCACACCCAAAGCTGTGCCTCGAGGACGTGCCACTGCTAACACCTCTTACTCTATAGACTCTGTATTCTAGTAAAGCTGCAAATTTCTGTTGGAAGAATCCTGTTTCCTATGCAAATCAAAACAACTCTGAGGTACCACAACACACCTATCAGATTGGCCAACATGACAAAACAGGAAAATGAGAAATGTTGGAGAAGATGTGGGAAAACTGGAACACTAATACGTTGTTGGTGGAGTTGTGAAATGATCTAACCATTTTGGAGAACAATTTGGAACTATGCCCAAAGGGCTACAAAAATGTGCATACCCTTTGATCCAGCAATACCACTTCTAGGGCTGTATCCCAAAGAGATCATACAAATGGGAAAAGGACCCACATGTACAAAAATATTCATAGCAGCTCTTTTTCTGGTGGCAAAGAATTGGAAATTGAGAGGATGCCCATCAACTGGGGAATGGCTGAGCAAGTTGTGGTATATGAATGTAATGGAATACTACTGTGCTATAAGAAATGATGAACAGGCTGACTTCAGAAAAACCTGGAGAGACTTGTATGGTCTGATGCTGAGTGAAGTGAGCAGAACCAAGAGGACTTTGTATACAATAGCAGCCACGTTATGCAATGACTAATACTGTTAAACTGAACCCTTCTCAGCATTATGAGGATCTAAGACATCTCCAGAGGCCTCAGGATGGAAAATGCTGCCCACATCGAAAGAAAGAACTATGGAAGTCGAATCACTATCACTTATTTTTACCTTCTGTTGAGTTTTGTTTCATCTTTATGATGGTTCCTCCTATTGGTTTTAATTTTTACTTACAACTTCACTAACGTGAAAATATGTTTAATGGGTATGTAAATGTAAAGCCTATATCAGATTGTGCACTGTCTTGGGGAGAGTGGGGGGAGGAAGGGGGAGAAAAATTTTCAACTCAAAAGCATATGGAAGTGATTGTTGATAAATCAATAAATTAATAAAATTGAAAAAAAAAGAATCCTATTTCCTGATTGACTGCCACTGTAAAATCTAAGAGATGGTGCTACACAGAAAAATCCCTCCAAGGTGGGGAGAGATAGAAGGGAGGACAGATTAGGAGAAGGGGTATTCAGAAGGCATGCCATCTTGGGGTGGGGAGAGGGATGAGATGGAGAGAAAATTTGGAACTCAAAATCTTGTGGAAGTGAATATTAAAAACTAAAAATAAATAATTTTTTTAAAAAATAGTTATATTAAAAAAAGAAAAATCCTTCCAAAGAAAAAAACTCAAGAAGAAAGGGTGAGGTAGTTATGCCCAGGGACAGTCTGGGTGCCGTACGCCCCATGCCTACTGAGCATGCTCTGTCCACCTGGAGCACTCCCCTGTGGTGGGAAGGCCCAGGCTTTGGGAGTCCTGAGCTCCAGCAGGGCTGGAGCTGGTCCAGTATCCATACTGAGTCAGCTACTGATAGGGTGAGCTCCCAGGAGCTAGGGCACTATGAGGCTGCCTAAGGAGGGGCAAGCCAACTCAGATCAGAAAAACAGAGCAGGTCAGGCCTCCTTGCTGATTAGTGTTGGAAACAGGCCCATGAGTGGCCACTACATGTCTAGCCTGGGTGAGACAGGGAGACCCAGTCCAGAAGAAACAAGAAAGCTCTATGGCACTTCTCCTTACTCCTACAGCTTCTCCCCACTGTCTCCCATCTCCAAATGGCGGGTCCTTCTGCCATGTTTCTACTCTCCCAGCCTCTTCACAAACCGGACTAAAGCAGCATCCCTGGCTGGCGGATGCCACCATCTAACCCAGGGTGAGTCTACTCTAGTCTAACAGTCCCCGAAATCTGCCAACGCGAATCAGGCCACACAAAGCAGCGTCGTGAACTCTATGAATCTCTATGGCCCATGTGGCATTTACTTTCAAAGAGGGACACCTGCAGCTGACATGAGGAGACACTCAGAAGGCCAGAGCTGAAAGTCACAAGCAGCCACGTGGCAAAGACACCACGCCTTCCGGGTCACTCAGTGACCTGCTGACGCTAGGATCCAAATTCCCCTGCGGACACCCACACAGCTTCCGGTTCTCCTTCTTTCCTTTTTGACACCATGGCTCCTCCCCCATTCCTCCCCACCCCACTGGATGAACTGACCTGGAAATGGCAAATTCTTTAGCCAGCCCTACCTCAGGCCAACGACTGGCCCCAAACAATTCTGGTGAAAGACCGGAAAACAAGACACGGCATTCACTGACAGCCTCACCCGCCAGGTATGGCAGCCTGGCCTACCACCCCATTACAACTGGCAAAGACACAGAAGATGAAAATCATCAACATCAGGAAGAAATGTGGGCATCCAGGAACACCAATACACTCCTGGCGGGGATGCAAATCACAACATTTGTGGAAAACAATTGGGAGTTTGGCAAGAAGGCTGCTCTTGTGTTCAGACTCTTTGATGCGCGATCCCCCAAATGGGTTTACATCTCAAGGATTCACTAGCAGAAAGCAAAGTCTGATTTATACCAAAATATTCAATAGCAGCAAAAAGCAGAATATAAATGATGTGGCTGTCCTGTTAAATTAACCAATCAGCAAGTATCTATTAGGCTCCTACTATGTGCCAAGTGCTTCACGAAGTCATGGGAAAACACACACAAAAGTGAAACCATCCCTGCGCCCTCGAGGAACTTACACTCTAACAAGGAAACACACACACACACACACTGTCAAAGCAATGGCTGCATTACGGTAGATGCATATAATGGAATAATTTTTGCCCCACAAGAATGAATGAATGAAAAAAGCACTTCTAAACAATGAAGATGAACTCAGAGAAACAAGGGAAGGTCTGTCTGAAATGCCGGCACCAAGACAAAAAGGACACCCAGAGAGCAATCTGTGCCCTGACGACAGCAACATAAATGAAGACAGTACTACTCCAAGACGCCAGGGTCTGAGAGAATACGCTGGCCAACAGCCATTCCTGGTAAACGATTTTAGATCGTTGAACACCAACAGAAGAACGCTACCTGAGCTCTGTTTCCATGACAGGAAGTGCCAGCAGTCTGTGGGGCTTGGGAAGTGATATGTCAAGAACAAAACAGGTTCATTTAAAGAAAGAGTTGGCTGGCACGAAAGTGAAGAAATTAGGGTTGGCCCTGTGCACGGGTGGGAGGGCCACAGTATGATCTAAAACAAACTGCCCCCCAATACATTCCCCATTCATGCCTCTTTTTAAATGGAAGCACCCCTAAATTAAACCACAGCCTGGGAATTTCAGAAAGAGCCAGCAGAGACCACCAGAGTGACCCTAGCATTTTCCAGAAGGGGGAGTCAGGAGGCAGCAAACTCACGTCAGTCTCAGACCTCAGGCGTCCTGACACCCAAGCCTTTAAAGGCTCTGTCAAGACATGCTTCAAGACTCCTGAAGAGGTGTACGGGGCTGTCATTTCCCTTTCTTCCTGAAAGAGAAGGAAGGAGGCCCGAGCTCACAGCTTCCGGAGGAGAAATGGGTGGGAGGCTGACGTCAGCCAGGGAGGCATGGAAACGTGTAGGGAGTCGTGTCTGGCCCACCCGCCAGAATCAGTCTCGGAGAATGCCAGCCCCTCCAGAGACACCAGGACCAAGCAGCAATGGGCTCCAGGTCCCATGTCCGATGATGTCTCTGCAGATCATCACAGGACCCTTGAGTGCAAAGAACCTTCAAGGTCATCCAGCCCAACCACTTGCCCAATGAATGAATCCCTTCTACACCATTCCCAACAAACGGTCATCCTGCTGCAGCTTGAACACCTCTGTAACAGGGAACTCACTATCTCACTCGATTCTATTTCCAGAAGTTATAACAATCATTCACTTAATCACCAAGCATTTATTAAGTACCAGCCAGGTGGCAGCCCCTATGCCAGACACGAGGCACACAAAGACAAAAATGAAACAGTCCCCGTCCTCAGGAAACTTCTACTCTACTGTAAGGAAATAAGATGG